CGGGCCATTGCTCATGCTCAGCAGACTACAAAACATAAGGATGAATCCCGCACAGGCAGCCTTTCAAACTATCTTCAATCACCACGGTGTTGAGCAAATTATTAGCTTGTTGTGCTGGATTCAATTCCAGACTTGAGACTCCTGCACCCGACCGCAAAACCCTTGTTTTACAAAGAGGGGAAAACTGCCTAACCAATAAACTTGACAGAAGGCCGAGGATGTAATTTTGAAGATGAGCAGTAATTGAGGGTCATTGACTTGGACACATTTCTGCCACACATGCACAAACCCTCAGACACACACACAAAAACATATCTGTAATCCATGCTTGTAATCATATGCAAAGTGATCCTGCTTTAGCCAACACAGAACAGGTTCTACAAGGAGAATTTACTAAAGAGGGCGATGAAAGAAAAAGGAGGGGAAGAAGGAGCGATAGAAGATCTGGGAGCCCGTCTCGCCAGCAACGCACAACACTCACTGTGGTAGTGGCTGAATAAATTCCTCAGAAGATGGTACTTGTTGGTGTAATCCCCAGCCTCGGATAATGGAGCATCGTAATCTGAAAGATAATGCGCTATCAGAACATAGGCTCGGGAGGCAGAGAGAGAGGCAGAGATGCCTCTTACTGTGGCAGATGCTTTCACTGTGCGCCCCTATCAAACATCTCGAGGCAGCAGCGGGCCGAGACATATTGCACTTTATCTTGACAGAAAATGGAGGCTTTGTGAGGCAAAAAAGGTAAAAAGGCATTGGGAGAAATAAACACAAGTATGAGGGGCTGCTGAAGGTCAGAGGTGGCCTTGCCTACTGTGGAGCTTGTTTTTTTTTTTAAGAATCCTCCTCCTTTCTGAAGAACAAGGTCATTACAATGTTAAGTACCCTAGAGGAGGATATAAAACCCATTGTACCATCTTTAATTTACATTCCCGTGCATTTATTAGGTAATGAATTCATCTGTGTGCTCTGCATATTTATAAGTTTCAGGTCAGACGCTGCTGAGTAGAGATAGCACCATCTACAGACGTCTCAAATATCCTTATCATATTTTTTTATCTACCAAACCACCTCCCATTTGTGTCAATGTAACAAGCCGACAGAATGAGACTATGTTTCAAATGAGTTATTATCTACATGACGCATGCAAATTTTAGCCTATTGTTGTGCAAAATCCGTGGGCTTTGATAAGTGTCACTAATTATGAATATGTGCCTGTGTTGAATCCTTGCAGCAGGGGCAAGTTAAAGCCTGACCAGTCAGCCATGTATAACTTCATTTTCCTTCCAGCTCTAGCAGAGAGGTTTGTTTATCCAAATGTCAGGAAATACTGGCCAGTGTGCTTTAGAAGCTCATGAAAGACAAACTGATTCGTTCCACATACCGTAGCTTGTTACCATGGGTTTAGGTGCCGGTAGTCCAACAGCAAAGGCCCCACTCATGAAGCCAAAATTTGTCCCCCCGTGGAACATGTAAAGGTTGATGGACATGTCCAGCTTAAGGATTTCGGTCACCACAGGTATCATTTCTGCCGTGAAAACCAAAATAAGGTTTTATTTAGCTGAAATTTTCCCATATGACCAATGAGTGAATCAGGGAATAACAAACAGGACTGTAAGTCACAAAAGGGGGAAAACAAATCCACACAGACTCGAATTTAATGAGCTAGAGCGACTGTTTTAATACTCCTATTGCCCTCAGTGTCACTTTAACTGAAACATAAACCACAAATCCTATTACAGGAAACTATAATTTATTACGGGGCAATGCTCACACCCAAAAAAATGGCCTATTTTCTTGCACAAATAAGCTTAATATATTTTGTAATGAACGTGGCTAAGAAGGTAATTAAGAATTTAAATTGAATTTTAGTAGTGTAACTGGACTGAGTTTAATGATTCTAATCAAGAGGCGTTAGCCTTTTTGAATAACAATCGGGCTAGGCGAGCAGTAGAGCTGGACTCGGCTGGCTTCATGGTGGCAGAACTCACTGTGACCAACTGCTGGGTGTGCTGCAGTCTGCAGAGCACTGAACTGTCAAGGACATGAATCCCCCTCTGAATATTTCAGTGTTCATTTCATTGCTGTGACAGTTTCTGCGTGGTGAGGGTTTTTCTTTCTCCCCATTTTCCTTTTCAGAGCATTTTTTTTTTTTTGTTAAGATGCGGATGGCTGCTAGGAATGACAAGAGTAAAAAGGAGGCTTGAGGCACTGCAATCTTTTCAAGAAATAAGATGTTTCCAAGAGCACTCAGGATGATGATGCCAGAGTGTCTGACTGCCATTAATCTCAACAATTGTGAAATAGGTGCTATCATTTACGTCATGACTGTGCATTAGACTATAAATAACACACACAACAGCAGCATATGGATCATGTTATACAGCTGATATGTGGGGTACAATGTAGAGTTAAAGAGAGAATTCTTAGATTAAAAGACATGAAGATTTGCTGTTTTATACAACCCTGTTAAACATACATACACATATATACATATAAACAC